CCCCGAGCGGTTCTGGCTCGGGGCGCACGTTGCAATACAGAGCCGATGGTGCCCGATGCTTAAGGCAGCAGCGAGTCCTAAAGTTACCCCGTGACTCCCTGCCTATCCGTTCACCGTCCTGTGCCAGCAGACCTTTCCAGGAGAAGGCCGCTCCTAGCGAGCGAGCGTGCCGAACCGCGCGCTCTTAAATTTGCCTCTCTCAGAGAGCCCACGTCTCAGTTTCATGGTCTGTAAATGGAAATAACTCCGAGCTGGCTCGCGGTGTGACCACCTGTCAGGCTCCTGTGGCTGACGTTTGCGTAACGTTTCGGGGTCCCTGCAGGACTAAGGTAGCAAAGAGTAGGCACTCCCTTTACCTGCTGTTGTAGGTCTGGATCTGAATTGCCCCCAGCCCACAGCGTGGGCCTTGATTGAGGATTTTCAGGCGCAGCATCGCTCTCTTTCTCAGACCTCAGGCTGTTTTCCTTCTTGTCGCACAGTGGTTTGAACCTTCCCAGTTTGGGACTTGGTGGGCAATCCTGTCTGCAAGCATGAACTTGGCTGGAGGCTTAGGCCCCATCGTCGCTGCTCTCGTGTCTCTGCACTACGACTGGCGCGTGACTTTGTCCTTCTCCGGCTTCATCTGCGTGGTCGTCTCTTTTGTATGCCTCGTCCTGATTAAGAACGAGCCGTCGGATGTTGGGCTACCCAACATTGACCAAGGAGTCAAGAAAGGGAAGAAAGGTGAGCAGAAGACTTCGCTGTAAGCAGGCAGCCGTGGGAGAAGGTGCGGTGCCTTCCGTCTGTGTTCTGGCACAAACGTGTCGCTCTCGGTGGACCGAGACCTCCGTCCTTCCCGCTTCCCGAAATCCCTGTTTGGCAGGATACGTGTGAGGGGTTGTCTTCAGCAGCTTTATTCTGGTAACTGCTGAGCTGCTGCGTCGAAGCTTCTGAGAGCGTCACCGCAAAGCGCAGCGGACAGAGGAAGACCCTGACGGCCAACTCGTTCTGTTCCTTGGGCGGCCGGCGGCCGCGTGCGCATTGCTGAGACGCTCGTGGCCGTTTCGTCTTCCCGTCGGCGTAATGTCTTCCTCCTAGCAGCGCCCTCGTTTTCTTGGGGCTTTACTTGCTTAGAGCGTGAGCCGAGTCTCCTGTGGGGCACTGGAGAGAGGGAAACAACGCAACAGCAGGGAATGCTTCCTTAAGCCTGACCTTCCTCTCCTCCATGTTACCAGGGGACAGGCAGTTCTCCCCTCACCCCGCCGTGGGTTCTCTTGACCCCTGGCTTGCGGTGGACTCTGCTCAGTGTTTTCTGTCCTAACCCAGGACATCTAGTTAGTAAATGTTTGTTCAGACCACTGGGTATGGTGCTCCTCTCAAAGCAGAACAGGTAGAGGGGAATTGCAACAGAGGTTTGCGGTGGGATTTTAAAGGCCAGTGGAAACTCAGCCCACCTCCCATGCTGTCCTGCGATGCCCGTGCTGCTAGACTTGACCTCTTTGGGTACAAAACCAGTATCGCTTCCCCTAGAGCCTTCTCTGAGGAGGGGAAAGTTCTTGGATGACTGATGCAAAAAAAAAAAAAAAAAAAGGTAGCACCTGATAGTCAGCATCTTTGTTTGGGTCTACGTAGTGACTTTCACAGGCAGAGCTTAAAAGCAAAATCTGGAGAAGCAGGTCGTTTTTCTAACCACCTTTGTGGTGTTTTGATTATTCTTTTGAAAGCTTTAATGAGCGTGGAATAATTTGACAGAAAAGATTCTGAAATCACAGCAAACCCAGAACAAGGGGGTGGTAGAGCCATTCACTACCAGTAGCTATGAATATCTCCCTCTGTAAGGATGTCCTTATGCACAAATCCTGCTTGCAGAAGTGTCTGTAGTACCGCTGAGCCGCTGCGGTTCCGTTGCTCGAGCAGTAGTAACCTTCCTCCGGATCTTCCTCACAGGTTCCTCCAGTGACAACAGCACTTTGACAGAGCTGCTGCTCTCGCCGTACCTCTGGGTGCTGTCGACGGGCTACCTGGTCGTTTTTGGAGTGAAAACGTGCTGTACCGACTGGGGACAGCTCTTCCTGATCCAGGAGAGGGGACAGTCCATGCTCGTGGGTAAGATGCGGAGCTGCATTTCTAAGCTTTGTGGCTACAGTCTGGGAGGTGTGGCAGAGAGCTCGACTGGGTGCAGCAAAAGGACGCGGGCACCTCCGTGCGAGAGGCTCGTTTGCTCACCTC